CTAACCTGCGACCGGCGCCGCTGCCGCTTCCCGCAGCGCTCCTGCCCGCCCCGCGCTGCCGTGCCCGGGGCGCCGGGCTCCGCACGGCCCGGCACGGAGCGGGAGCGCCCGCCGCGCGCCTCATCCGCCGTAACGCCCAAAGCCGCCGTGCTCCCCCATCGCCTCCTCCTCCAAACTGGATTTTAGCTGTCCTGAAAAGCTCCCGCAAAGTCGCGCTCTCCCAAGCGAAAGATTTTTGAATACTTCGGCGCTGGCGAGGTGTGTATGAGCCTGATCCGTTGATATTTCCCAGCAGAAGTTGCCCCTTGCCAGAAGCATGCTAAGTACTTGCCATTAGAATAATTCCTGTAGCTGTGAATTCAGAGTTTATCTTAAAGGCATTTGGTAATCAATAACACTTGAGAGGCGTTTTTATGTACCAGACTGTAGGCAGTATTGCCACTTGCACATTTGCATTTCATTTAAAAGCTTTTTTTTTTTTTTTTCCCCCTTTCCTCCACTTCTTCCCCCAGAGCTTCTTTTCAGAAGTTTGTGCTTGTGGCAGTGCCTCCCTCCCAGGCAAGGACCTTTTGTTGCCTTCCCCCTCTCTCCACCTCCTCAGGAGCTCTTTTATATTGTGCAAAGTAAGTAGCSTTGTAAAACTGGACCAAATTAACTKCCAGACYGTGTCACTTTTCTCCGGTAAAATATTTTGGGAAAGAATAATATGCTTTAAAGTTGTGCTTTAGGTCCATCTGACGTTGTTCTCAGACCTATTTTCCTGCAGCAGCAGGAGGTAGCACAGAAATACCATCTTTGAGATGCAAAATTCAGCTTTTCTCTTTTGTGGGATAGAGAGGCAGTGTTTCGAACTTGGGACGCTGTGACAATTCTCAAAAGCTCAGTATTGCTTTGGATGAATTACTAGTTACTGCAGTTCTTGCTTTCAGCACTTAATATACAAGTTAAACTTACTCAAAATACTTGCGACATTCTGGCTTTCTCAGCCAGAATGATGATAAACTTTTGTCATAGTTTCATGAATGGGAAGGTTTTTTCCAGTCTAGAGAGTGCGTGAGAGAGAGATTCACAGGCATAGCTGGACAGTTAGGTCACTTGTATTCTAATTTTGTAAGGACTTGTCCTGCTACCAAGGACGTGCATAAGTTACTGCCCTGTAAATGGTATGTACTGTATATTATGGGCTGGCTGCGAGAGGTGAGAAGAGACCCTGAGTACRGGCATGCTGCAGCTGTATGCCTATACTGAACTTAAGGTTAACCACTGTAGGATGTGTTAGTGAGTACCTGTTTTGAGTGTATTGAACCTTCTTGGTTTTCATGCCAGGAAATGCATTTGAGTTTAATACAGTCTTAAACATTYGGGTCTCCCTGATCTGTTAATGCATTAAAATCTTTTGTTCTTTTTGGAGAAAAGTCCCAATTTCCAACTTTCCTTTGGGAGCTAGGGCCTGTGGAGTGGACTTCATATTTGAGMCTTTCAGGTGAAATTTGCATGAGGCTTAAACATTTAAGCTGATGAGAATATTAAAAGGCAGTAGCATTTGGACTCTGAAGATCACCTGGTCACTCTGCAAATGTACAAAGCCTCTGTTGGGAACAGCTTAGGCTTAAACCTGTTAGTTGGATGGCCAGGTTTCATTCCTAAGACTTCTTTGAGGCAAACAGCCTCCCTGTTTAACGTGGCATGCTTTCTGTCTAGCAAATGCAGGAGTGGACCCAAAGCTTATGGTTAAAGGTCTGCTATAGAATATGTGTGAGCAGTTTTGTTAGCATAAATGATATTTAAACATATTGCAGCACTTATTATCATTTATCAAGTGATTAATCTTTCAGTAGCAATATGCATGAAGCTTAAGCAGGAGATCTTATCACACTGTACAGAAGATGAGAAGGATGATGATATGGGCTTAACGGTGTGTGCACTGCTGTCTTTGAAGTTAGGAGAAGTAGTGTCCAATTCTGTCTGTTAAATGAAGACTGCAAGTATGTGTTTATGTTCTGAACTGTAACAGCTTGATTGCTTAGCTGATTGTTTGTACAAGACTCCTTCCATGACATTATATGGTGTCTACAAGCATGACATAGAGAATGCATCGTGTTTAAAAGGGTGTATGTGCTTTTATTTATTTATTTTTTTACTTTGGTGTATTGATTTATTTCTGCCAGGAAATATTAGACAGTTTTTGTTAGGATGCTATAATGTGGTAGTGTCTCTTAAACAGAATTGCAGCTCTTGGTTTGCTAGTGCTGTTGTGTTAAATTATGAGAGTATCCCGAAGAAAGCCCTAACTAGAATTGTAGGCATGATATATTTTCTTTAAATCCATATTTCTTTTCTGAAAGGTTTACCTTTTTAGCAGTTCTGGCAATCATGGATTGAAATGGTGGGGAGTACTAAATACATATTTGTGAGTGGAGATGTCTTTAAAAGATTCATAGTGGAGTGAAAGCCTTGTTTTGTTAGCTTCGGAATTTCAATTGGATTGCTTTCTGTTAAATACTTCTGGAGGTAACTTTGGAAGGTGGTAATAAGATAATGTCAGCGTGAGGATTGAAATCTGTGAGATTGGTGCAGCTGGAGACAAGAAGTATGTCAGTTGGAAAATATTTAAAATATATAGAACTCAGCGTTCCTAGAGGGCTCAAGTTCGCTGTTCCTGTCAAGTGTTTCCTTAGTCCATGCATTGACCAGGATCTTCCCTGTACTCTATAAAGTATTATGGTAAATGAACACATAGGCCTTTAAGATGAATTACTTCAAAGAACTGTGAAGATAATCTTTGTAAATAGCTAACATCTTAGATATCTGAAGTAACTTGGAACTGTTGGTAAAATGAGGAAAAGAAAGAAGTGTTCTGTGAGGCTGAGAGGAAGCATGCTTGCTTCTGCACTTCTTCTTACTGTAAATGATATGAATTTTACCAGTTAGTAGGAGACCTTTGCTCCTCTGCTGACTGTACTTCTTCTGGATTAGAAAACAAAATTTAAAAGGTCAGATGCTTAGATTTTTCAGTGTGCAGCCCATCCCAAACAGTGCTGAAGTTTATTCTTGTACTTCTCTTGAAATTACTGTAAAGCCTTTGTCCTAATTAGAACTGTGTTCGAGACCAGCAGCATAAAAATAGTAGGTTGACTTGGTCTATTAAGGTGGCTGTTACAGCTCTTTCTTTGGACTCATCCTCACATGAACTTCTGTGCGCTGCTAGTCTGACATAATGCAAGCGTGAGGACACCGAAGGAAGGCAGCAGATCGTGCAGCCCGAGTGAGCACTGCAGGTGCCTGCGTGGAGCCCGTGGTTGCGGTGCCAGGAACAGGAGAATATTGGTGCTGGTGTTTCAGCGTGCTATGTTCRTGGCTGTGTTTATAAGGTTCAGTTATCTTCTAAGTGCCGTGCAAATTTGAGTAGTGTGTTTGATAAAGGGTTGTTATCAGGGCTGTTGTTTATTTGAACTGAACTCAAAAAAATATGCGCAATTTGAGCAGGTGGGTAATAATGTTCATTTCTTGCTATGGAGACTGTTGTGAAAAGTGGGGGTTTGTGGTACTATGTGCCTTTATTTTAAACAAGCAGCGTTGCAGGAGAGTTTGGGTATTAAGGGCAAGGTTGGGAATGGGTTGTCTTTCCAAAGCAGATGTTTGCTTGCATTCTTCCRTGGCTAACCCCCGGTGATAAGAAATGCTGTGTAGCAAACAAAGCCAAGCAAGGGCTTTTGTCTAAAGGCAATAGTAAGCTGAGTAGTAAAACACCTATTGCTGCTCTCTGCGTGTTTACTTGCCATACCATTGGAACAAGAGCTCTTGTTATAAATTTAATGAAAGAAGCTTAGTATATATTTGAGCACTTTTGGTTACTGTTAAAGACAGATGCCTTAAGTAAGAGGTAAGGTATCCTTTGTGTTTTGTTGCTGTTTTCTGTTTGGAAAGTACCTTAAAGTAAAAACACCATAGTAGGCTGGGAAGCTGCCCTGGATGCTAATTAACTCACTTCAGGGCTTAAAGCCATGCTGGCTCCTAAGGTTTCCTGCTGTTTGCACTGGATAAATATTTATGCTTCTGYAAGGCGTTAACTTCAGCCTGATGAATTGTGCACGCTATTTTAATATTTTTGTTGATACTCAACACATTACATTTCTGTACTATGCTTTATTGCAATTGTTTTACAATATCTCTATTCTATGCAAAACTGTAATATCTTCCACTTGGAAGATTTTTGATCAGTGATAGAGAACCAAGTAAATCTAATATTCAATAATTAAGCTRTCCAACAGTGTTAGTATTTTACTCAAGTGAGCAATAGCATAAAGACTTCATGAATGTTTGGCTAATGGAAAGCACCATATTGTAATCAGTTTGCTTTGTCTTCAATTACTCAATCCTGTTCTCATACCTAAAGACAATTGTATTTTAATTGTATTAGATACTTAATGTTAAAACGGTATGCTCGTTATAAAATATTTCTTGTATTGAGGTAAATGATTGGGTCATAGATAAAAATTAGGAGTTGACTTGAGTAGAAGGCGGCTGTGGGCTCCTCTCAGTGCTTGTTGCTGAAGGAAGTTAAGCAGCAGGTGTCCAGAGGTGAAGTAGTAGGTCACAAAACCACAGTGCAACTTTGTGTTGAGCTGAAGAAGGGAAATATGTTGGGGAGTTTAGGAAGGAGTCACATTAGAGGAGAGTCACATTTGATCTTAGTACTAAAACAACATTACAGTGGTCCTTCCAGCAACTTTAGGCTGGATTTTGGCAGTGAGTTTTTTCCATGTTCTGCTATAGTTTGTGCCTGGGGGACACATCTAGCTGAGCAAATAGCAGGCCCGCTCTGCAGCATTTGGTGCCCTTCCTGTAAAGGGCAGGTATGTTCACCATAGAGGTATTGTACTGTGGTGAAATACTTTACCTCAGATGGTCAAGTTGTCACATCTCYTTATGAAACGGAGAGTATCTATTTTGCAAAATACTTAATGATATTGCTTCTAATGTATGGATTGTGTTTCATCTAGAATTGCTTAAGATGGGTCAAGTGGATTTGACCAAGGGGACAGTTGGACTTGAGTCAAGTTCTTGTATCTCTTCAGCAACAGAACTAAACCTATTTTCCTTAATATAGCAGAACTGCTTAATATAAACTACTCAGCGAATCTCTAACATGACACCGTTTCAGTTCCTTTTAATTTATTTCCTGCATTGTCTTTTAGCATATATATCTTTAAAATTATCCTTTGTCTTATGCCCAGTTATTAAGAGCACCTACATTT